GTAGAGGCAGAACGAGCCCTGTGGGCATCTCATAACAGCGTCTCACGATACGTTATACGCCTGTACAACTACCTGTTACCAAAGGTTGTCGCAAGCCTTTCAGAATCAATGAGCAAAGTCCATATAAGCTTTGACGGATGGACGACAAAAGGTGGCAAGCGCGGTTACTTAGGTATCGTCGCCCACTACGTTGATAGCTCTGGCGAGCTCAGGGACTTGCCTATTGCGCTCCCACAACTGACAGGTGCCCACACCGGCGAGGCCATGGCTGAGGTCGTGATGGCAATATTCAAGCAGTTCGAAATCACTGTGGGCAAGCTCGGTTACTTCGTCCTCGACAACGCACATAACAACAACACCACGATCAACACTCTCGCCTTGCAGATGGGCTTCAGCGCTACCGAGCGTCGCCTTCGCTGCGGTCCTCATACGCTTAATCTCATTGGCCAGATGCTACTCTGGGGTGAGGAGAAAGAGTCCTACGACAACGAGGAGACTGAGCGCGTGAACGAAGCTGAGAACATGGCTACTTGGCGAGGCGATGGACCATTAGGAGTGCTTCTCGCGGTTATCAACTACATCAAAACACCACAACAGTACGCTCTTTTTGAGAAGTATCAGAAGCTCGCTATTAGGGACCAGCCTGTCAACGCGCCAACAGAACAGCACAAAATCAAGGAGCCCGTCAAGCCAGTTGTTACTCGCTGGAACTCTTACGTTTCGTGTTTTGAGCGCGCTGTTGAGTTGCAATTAGCGGTTAATGGGTACGCCAACTACCATATTCAGAAGATTGAAACTGAAGACGCGTACGCCCGAAGTCGTAACAACAAGCTGCCTGCAGCGCCGGATTGGATGAGGTCTGATGGGATCAATGCCCATGACTGGCAGGTGATTGCTGAGTATATTGATGTGCTCAGGCCACTGAAACAAGCTACAAAACGGCTTGAAGGCCGCGGCAAAAGCGGTGCTTTTGGAGCAATCGCTGAGGTTATTCCAGTATTTGAATACTTACTTGGAGTCTATGAGGACCGCTTGCAAAGCTATGAAGACGTCATTCACGATGAGCATACAGAGTCACCCGAAGACCACCTTGCTATCAACCTCCGCGCTGCCCTAGTTAAAGCCCGCGAGTACTACAACAAGCTCGACCTCTCGCCAGCTTACTATGCTGCTACAATCCTTCATCCTCGCTACAAAAGCTACCTTGACGCAGCGTGGGCGGATAAGCCTGATTGGCTAGAGAGCAGCAACCGCAAGTTTCAACATTTGTGGGCGGAGTACAAAAGCTTACCGAAGCCGCGCTTACGCCCCAAAGTCAGGCACAATGATATAGACGACGCTATCAACAGCTTTATTGAGCCTGCAGGGCTTACGGAGAACGAGGAGGATGAATATGAGGCTTGGAAACGCAGCGAACCGATCGCTAGCGAGGGCGTCGACCCTATAAAATACTGGGTAGGACTCCGCGATCGCTACCCCAGCCTTAGCAAATTTGCTATCGACATGCTATCAATCCCAGGCTCAAGCTGTGAGTGTGAGCGCTTATTCAGCGAGCTGGGTGACCTCCTCGAGCCCCGTCGGCGCAGCATTTCTCCGCAACTTCTAGCAGCAATACAGTGCGATCGACGATGGATAAGAGCTGGATTTGGCAGTGGTGAGGTGCCTGTAAAGGAGGCTATCAGCGATGAGGAGATGGACGCGAAATACGGTGTACATAAGTGGGATATTAGCTGAGAAACTCAACACCAAGGTTTCTATATAACTTTCCTAATCGGGACTGAGCCCATCAAGCCGAGCGAGCTGACAGCCCTGTTTCAGCCAATCCGAGCGAGCCGAGCGAGCTGCTGGCCTCCGCTCAATTGGCTGAGCAAGCCAATTGGCTGAGCTCGCTCAGCTTGCTCATTGACATCTGTGCTGGGTAGGCGTCGTGTATCGCAGTAGTTTCGAGCTTTTCTTTAAAAATCCTTCTATAGTGGGAAGTGTCTTGTCGTAGCTTTGTCAGCTCTTTGTTCCACCAAGCTTTTGGTTTTGGACCAAGTCTAGTGATAGGGATAGCTTTGTTTGCTGCAGTTTGGATTGCTTGAGTTATTGCTTTACCAATCTCTTCTAGCTGTTGCTCTAGCTCTGTATTGTTGCCGAGGAGGAGGTCCATTAAGTCTGCCTTTCTTGGATCACTGATCTGGTCCATATCTTGCAAGGTTTGACTGTTTTGGATTGCCGTTTCTAGTTCTTTGTTGAAGGTGTCCCAGTTAGCCTTTGCAGTATTAAATCTGGGTTGGTTTGTCGGGTTTTCTACAAGGTCTGCGTTTGTTTGGATGGAGAATAGGAGGCCGTAGTGATCTGATCCAGTTTCAGGTATAGTCTGCCAGTCCGTAGCTTTGCTAGCCAAGTCTGGAGTGACAAGTGAGAGGTCTAGGACTGTTTCTCTAGATAGGTGTGGTCTGAAGAATGTGCCTACTCCTGGTGTGTTTAGGAGCTCTAGATCTTGTTCTTCAATCCAGTCAATAAATGGCTGTGCTCCTTGGCTCGTCGTTGGGCATAGCGGGTCCCACAATGGATGGTGCTCGTTGCTATCTAGTACTAAAATAGAACTTGGCGGAAGCTTAGTGTTAAGTATAGCTCTGGGCAGTGTTTTTTCCCCTTCGGCGTTTGTTTGGTTGTATACGTTAAATAGGTTAAATTGGAAATTAGAACCTTTTATTGTAATAGCCATTGCGTCTGGGTCTATTTTGAAGTCGTTTTGGGTGAATGTCTCTGCTTCTAGTGTTCTAGATATATAAAATAGAACCCTAGGGCGGACGGGTAGGTTTGTTACTGGTAAGATCTGGATAAACGCAGTGTGATTTATGGATCTTGCTGTTGCGTAGTTGTCGTTGGTAGTTAGCCATGGCTCTTGAATTGCAATTATATCAGCTTTAAGTTCAACTGCAAGTTGCAGTGTAGACTCAGTCGCTGTAATGCTCTTGTTGAGATTGACTTGGAGGATCCTAATGTTGTTCAACATTAAAATCCTGCGGGGATGCTCTTTGTTACTGCTTGGTAGAGTTCGCACTCTTTGCTGTTTGCAAAGTGGGGCTCTTTGCAGTTACTACAGTGGGGGAGTGTATGGTTGCAGGGTTTTCCTTTTGTATTACACACCGAGCATTTGTGTGTTGTAGTTGCATGTTCTTCTCCGCACAAATTGCATGCTGGTTGGTTTCGGCATCTAGTGGCTGGGTGGCCAAATTGTTGGCAGTTTAGGCATTGGGTAGATGCTGCTATAGGCTTAAACTTTTCGGTGAAGAGAGTTTGTCCAAGGATTGTAATTCTACCACCAAGTCTGGCTGCGTCTTCGGCTGTTTTGAATGCTATTACAATAGAGCTGTTCTTCTTGTTTTGCCATTCTCTTGATATCCAGTATGGGTTGCCAGTAATTTGTAGTCCGTTGTTGTATGCTGGGATTTCTGTGTGGAGTATCTCTAGTGTCTCTGCTCCCTCCCATTCTGTTGGCACATTATGTACTACTACTTTCGTCCATGATTCTAGTAGTTGTACATTCTTTAGCTCAAACTTTTGATGCCATATATGCTTGTGTTGGACTAGGTATTCTCCTGAGTAGGTTGGAGTGGTTGTTAGAATAATATTGTTCTTTCTACTTGTTGTTACTTCCTTCACTACTGGGTCTTTGATGCCGCCCTTTGTGAACTCTTCGTTGATTAGGTCTCTAATCTGGAGTGGTGTGTGAGACGTAGGCTGGGTAAGCGTAAGGACTGCTTGGTAGTAGCTTGCTGGCTTTTTGTTTGTCTTCTTTTTTGTAGACACTGTAGTCCATGTGTTTCCGTTGTTCTGGGCGGCTACGCTAGCGTATGATGTCTTGTTTTGTTGGGTGTTTTGGGTGTTTTGGGTGTTTTGGATGTTCTGGGTGTTCTGGTTGTTTGGTTTTTCTTGGTTGTTTGGGTTTTGTGGTCCAGTTGCGGCATTAACAGCTTTCTTTAGTGTCTTTGTAGCTTGTTGGGAGGCGCTTGTAAGCGTTGCAGTCTGGTACGCAAGCTGTGCTGTAAACTTCTCAGTCATTTGCTGCGTAACCCTGCCTAGTTCCGTAAAGTCTCTAAAGACGTCCAGTAGTTGTAGTAGTTTGTTTTGGGATAGATGGGATTCGGCCATAGTAGATGCTTGTAGAATTAGGTCCCTTGCCCAGAAGATTGCTTGGGTTGAGTCCTTTGCTCTTGGTTTCTTTTCTTGGCTGTTCTGGAATGGGTTTCTCTCTCTTGTAGTTATCTCTGGGGAGAATGCCGCTGGTCTTTTATTTAGTGGTGGCTGAATAATTAACCTTGGTGTTTCTTGGGTGGTCTGCTCGATGGGTGTTGTTGGGTTGTCTTGGTGCCTTTCGTCGGTCTCCATTTCGTCGTCCAGTGTGCTTGAGGTCCGGAGGTCTTCTGGTAGCTGGACTACGATAGTGTCGCTATCTGGGGCCATTTTAGCCTCTCTGTTGTCTTGTTGTTGTTGTTTCTTGGCTTGGTCTGTGCGTTTGCTTCTGAAAGTTCGGACGCGTCGCGTTTGGGGTACTAGACTCCTTGTATCTCCACAACCACGCGGCTGCACGGCTTGGGAGTAGTCGGAATCTAACCCAGGGCGCTCAATGGTACGTTATAATATACCATTTTTTTGTTAGTGCTGAGAAGTACGCGTATGGCGGGTATATACTAGAACCAGGGGTTTATCCCATTAAACTTCAGGAGTACATCCCATTTTTAGTCTATAGTCGAAATTACTCCAAATTTAGACATATAACTCAGCATACGTAGACGCACAATCTGACGAATTTACAGCGCAGCAGACTATGTGGTTCAGGAGCTTAGGGTTTGGTGTTCTTGGTTAGGGTTACGCGTCTGGGGGGTCAGGAGGTCGCGAGGCTCGGCACCCCCGCCGCGCGCGCGCCGCCGGAGTAAGCACCGAGAGAGCGATCAACAGCGCGTGTATATAAGAAGCCGAGTAGAACAGGTAGGCGTCGATATTTCAACATGTCTAAACCTAGCATCGAGTGCCAGTATTTCGAGCATGTGCCTGAGCACAGCGTAGCGGCATGCAGAGAGTGCAGATATGCAGTATGGCCAGATCAGATTGAGGGCCATCTACAGAAGCAGCATAAGGTTAGTTACAAGGAGGCTGAGGCAGTTGGACAGCAGGTTCGCAGCTGGGCTGGGTTAGTCCAGTACCCTAGTGAGCTCGAGGTGCCGACTGGTGCTCCAAAGCCTGTGCGGCAATTGCCAGTGTATACAGACGGGATGTTATGCCAATTTGACTCCAGCTGCTGCTATTATGTAGCAAGAAGTAAGGAGGCTATACGAAAGCATTGGCGTAAGGACCATCAAGGATGGTCAGCAGGGAAGAAGCGAGGGCGGCCAAGTCGAACCAGGCAGAAGAGCGTGCAGGCACATATGGATAAGGGGTACCGGCTGGTCCATTGCCAGCGATTATTCAGCAGCCGGCATGGATCGCAGTACTTTGAGGTCCAGGCACCCAGCCAGGATGGAGAAGGCCCCGAAATCGTGCCCGTAGACGGGGCAGCAGCATGGGCGCGAGTGGGCGAGCAGATGGCCAAGGCGTGGGCAGACATCGAGAAGCGGGCGCAGACGACGATCCAGGAGGGCGAGCGCGACGAGGTGAACCCATGGCTGGAGCGGACGCAGTGGTTGCCGTACCTAGTGGGCATGGAGAGGCCGGATTTGTTAGCGTGCATCGAGGAGCCCGTGGCAGAGCCAGATGCCAGGCAGGAGCAGCAGGCCGAGCCGGTGGAAGCAGCGATTTGGGCAGCCATGGATGGATTGGCGCGGTTCAGCCAGGCATCCATTATTGACCGGATTGGCGTGTTTATACGGTTGGAGGCAATTCGCACAGAGATGCACCAAACCCGGTTCCAGCCGTTACAGCCGTATATGGACAAGAACGCCATTGTCAAGCACACACGACCGTGGCAGCAGATGTTAATGTTTTTTGCACGCACACAGAAAGAGCACGGGTGGAAGAGCCCCAAGTATCGGTTTACGCGCCGGCAGCGAGAGGCATGGGAGGTGTTAATCGAACAGGCAAAGCGGAGCATAGAGGGAGACGAAGAAGATGAAGCCGAGGATATGGACGAAGAGAGAGAAGAGCTGGACGAGGAGATGATGGACGACATAGACGAGGCGATAGAGGTAGCTGAGGAAGAGCCAGGTCAGGGAGAAGGCCCCGAGCCTAAGAAGTTGTCTAAGATACAGAAAGCGTGTTTGGAGTTTTGCATTGCATTACTTAACCACCGCATCACCCGTAGAGAGTATGACAGCCCGCTGGTGTGCGCGTTGGCGGTGCTGGGCGTCAAGGAGGACGGATGGAAGGGGCCGGAGCAGTACCCGCCGATATTATCGGCGGTGATCAAGATCGCTCGGTTTATGGTCGTGCAGAAGGGACTAGAAATGTCAGGGCCCGAGGAGGATAGCGGCGATGAGACAGACGACGACTTAGATGACAGCGCGTACGAGAGCGGGCCAAGCCAGCGACGGCGTCCCAAGGGGTGTTTGCAGTTAGTGCAGAAGATGATGGACCGGTTCATGGTGCGCGGCAGCCATAGCCCCATGCAGTGGATGTTGGATTTGCGGACGTATGGATTGAAGATCCATTACAACACTACAACCCGCGGGCATGTAGAGTGGACGAACGGCGACGAGCAGACTCCGCAACAATCAATCGGATCGGCATGATTGATTCCTATCTAGGTTAAAGGCTGCCTAATAAAGTAACTCTTTAACCTATATAGGAATCAATCATGTCGATCGATTGATTGTTGCGGAGTCTGGCGACGAGCTGCTGTACAAAGAGCTGCATTTTAGCATGGCGCAGTTCCGCGGCATGGTACATGGGCTGGCTAGCGAGAGCCGGCGATTATTAACAGAGGAGTTAATGTTTAGCAGCAAGGCAGCGCCGGTGCCGGCAGTGCCATGGGAGAGCATACGTGACAACCCAACCGACGAGCGGCCAGGATGGAACTTTTTGAAGGATCATCGCACAAACATGCCCGTCAACGGCGAGAGGTGGTTATTTGAGCGGGTAGGCGAGAGCGCCAGCATCCGGAGTCGGTTCATGAAGCCCGGGACGCAGTCAGGGGTAGACCGACAGGCAATAGAGCGATACATGGACCGGGTGGTAGAATTTCGCGAGAAGCTGGCGGTGTTAATGCATATAACGGGTGGGCAGCCAGCGCGAGGGCCAGAGCTACTGAGCGTACGGCATAGCAACACAGTGCAAGGGGGGCATCGCAATATATTCATCGAGGACGGCATGGTGGTGTTTGTGACACGGTACCACAAGGGATACAAAGTCAGCGGCGACGTCAAGATTATCCATCGATATTTGCCGCGCGAGGTGGGCGAGCTGGTAGTGTGGTATATGTGGCTGGTGTTGCCGTTCCAGCAGCGGCTCGA